AACCTAAACCCTATAAACCCTAGACCCTAAACCTGGGTATTTCCAGAAACCTAAACCCTATAAACCCTAGACCCTAAAGCTGGGTATTTCCAGAAACCCTAAACCTAAACCAACCCTAAACCCTAAACCTGGGTATTTCCCGAAACCCTAACCCTTAAACCCTAATAAACACAATACCCCCAGACCTCTCGGAGTCCCAACTGAAGGCCTCAACCAAAAAACAAGGCCCTGAGCTCTGCTAGTCTAAGGTTGGCCTCGGGCCTTTTGGCTTTCCCGAGACCCCCCCACGGTTTAGGGTTTAGGGTTTACAGACAGAGCTTCTAACAGCAACTTCCAAAAACTATAAACACTAATAAACACTAAACCCTAGACTTGCGCACTCGAACCATCGCTTTGAGAGTCGGATCGTGGGATTTTTTGTGAGTCTTGGGTATCAAGACGTATAGGGCTTAGGGCGGGCATTGAACAAAAGGCAGTGGTGTACAGCTTGACAGCGGTTGAAGGACGGTTGCTTTTAGGGGTACATTCGGGGCCAGCAAAGCAGTGTAGGGGCCTTACGGGTTGGAATGGGGTTTGGGGGTTTAGGGTTTAGGGTTTAGGGTTTAGGGTTTAGGGTTTAGGGTTTAGGGTTTGGGGGAAATTCACCTGACACCGCTCGAAGGGGCCCCGAGACGGATGAATAAGAGGAAACATAGGAGCCTTGATCATTGGAATAAGGTTTTGGGGGTATACTATACTATGACTACAATAAGGAACACCCAAAATAGTATTGGTAATTATTTAGGCCCCTATATAAGGCAGGTTGCAAGACCCAGAAGCTTGGCGCCCATCTGCCCGTTCTCGGTTACCGGGAAGCCCGTGAAGCCGAGAGTGCCTTAGACGCTAGGGGTCAGGGCTTATAGGGTATTTTTCTTTTTATTTAGGGTTTAGGGTTAGGGTTTAGGTTTAGGTTTAGGGTTTAGGGTTTAGGGGTTTAGGGTTAGGGTTGCGGGTTTAGGGGTGAGGGTTTCTATAGGTTGCAGGCGTGCCGTGTGAAAAGCACAAGGGCTGGATTCGTGGATTTTACAAACGCCGAGAGTACCAGAGGTGCAAACAACTCCGGAAGCACACTTCCGTTGCAGCTAGTGGGTTCCTCTACCATCATCCGAACCGTTCTATCCTAAGCCCGAAACCCCAAAACCCATTATGGATGCGCTGAAAGGACTTCCCTCGCTGTGGCAAACTATGGGCGCATGGCAGAATTCGAAATGGCACTCCGGGAGATAATGCCGATCCCTAATTCATAAACCTCTCTCCCTTGAGAAGGTTTATTAGACTATTAAACCTTACACCCTGAAAACCATCAGGGTCTACACTACCAAACATCAGGAAACATCGGCGCGCTCCTGGTCCACGCTTGCCTGAAGCGTTCGGGAAGGAATGTGCGTTCCGCAATCTACCTACACGAAGCCGAGGAGAGCATGCATCGGCAAGAAGCATATTTTAGGGTTTAGGGTTTAGGGTTCATGCATGTCATGAACAGAAGTAGCCACAATCTCGCAGCTGGCGAAGATGAGCCACATGAGAACCGAGCCATAGCCCCTGTTTGCACTATACTGGTCCATAACCTCTACTCTACACGGTACACGCCTCAACCCTGGCCTTAAAACTCCGAGCTGCTCTTGAGCTTGTCCAGCTCTTCCAGCGTCATCGTGGGCGGAACGCAGCGAGGCTCCAGAATGAAACCCGCCTGAAACTGACAGTGTGTAAGTGCCTATGATTTTGGGGTTCTTGGACCCCTAGTGTAGGGTTTGATGCTCAGCCCTGAGATTGAAACCAGTCCGAATCATCACGGCATCCTTGAATTATGTTCTGCAGCTGGGTTGCTCAGGAAACCGTCGGACAATGCAAAAGCCGTATACCACCAAACCCATCACACCCCGAATCTTCGGATCTGACGCCCACCTTGCAGTTCCACCTAAACCACTCACAAGCCTTCCTCTACCTCTGGATGAGTATTTCTGTCGTGTGCATATAAACCGTCTATGCAGATCAATATATAAGTGGTTGTCTAAATTGGGGTCCCTTTTGGGGTCCTTTCAAATAAGGGTGCCATATTATATTGGGACCTACAAGCAAGACCCTTTTTGGGAGGGTTACACGTTTTCAGGCCGAAAAAGCCTGGCTGAGGAACTTACTTAAGCTGCCACGAGAAGAACGCATAGAAAGGCATGTCTTCTGGCTATTGTGAGCTTACGATACTGCTGACCAAAACCCACTACATGGCTCACCTGCTGCTGCCACATGGGTAGATCTCTATATTAAGGCCCCATTTAGGGTCCTATTTATTATAAAGGTGCCGTACTATACTGGGACCCAAAAAGGGACCCTAACTTAGACAAGTACCCGCATGGGTGCCTTGAACTTCTTCACCCGCGCTACCTCGGCGGCCTCCACCGCAGGCTTCGGACTCAACCGGTTCTGGGTTTAGGGTTTAGGGGGGGGAAAGCTAGCTGTTGAATATTCCGTTTGGTTCACGGTCTGCCAGATACTGAATCCTAGGCTTCATGATTTGGTTCAGAAAACAGCACCCCAAACCTGGCTTGGTTGGTGCTATTGGCTGCTTCTAGTTGATCACCAAACAATGCAAGGCTGAACAAAGTCAACTTTTCCCTAAACCTCGAAAAAAAGCCTAGGCCTTCGAATTCAGGCTTTTAGGACTGCAGATTTTGGGCCTTAGTGAAACAGTAGGACTTCACTCAAGGGTGAATGCAGAAGAGCCCAATTTATACTGGAATATTAGCAAAGAGGTACCCTAAAAGTTTCTATGCGGGCGACTAGACGGTTTACTAGCAGGGTACGGGGGAATCGTGTATGGTGATCTGAGTGAGGAGTAATCCCCCTTCAAGGCATATTGAGCCGTCTGGGAAGCTGATGCAATTCGACATTGACTCTTCCTTTAGCCCCGGACGGATATAAGAAGTGTTTACCAACACCTCCATGTCTAACTCGAGATACTCAAATTTACCGGTGCTTGTCGCACATCATGCTGCCGCAGTCTACACTGGGCCTCAACACTAAGCAGCTCGAGCCTCCAGCAACCTTGGCTTTGAACTCCTCAACTCAAGCATTGAACTTACTTGTGTCTAGAATTCCGGTCAATGTAGGATCCCGAATAGCTAGAACAGGGCTTGGGGGTATGTCATAGCTTAAGCGACCCTACACTACATGATGGGGTGCATGGTAATTGCAGAGACGGCTCAAGGTGACAGAAGACTCCCAAGCCACATCCCCCTAAACCCTAAAATCTTCGCTGAGGCTGGACAACCGCCACTTCAAAGGCCGAAGCGGCCCGAGCTTCGCGAGCGGCAGAATGCGCAAACGCGGAGCATAGGTAAAGCTATGACTGGCACCATGCATGCCGGCCGCCCCGGGCACCTCCTAAACCCTAAACCTGAAGGTCTGTTGGCGGCCATTGTATAATCGACCATTTTGGCGCTTTCGTGGGGTCCCCCCCATTTAAATCAAGGGTCGCACACCCCCCAACGACTTCGAGCCGGCCCCCTTCTTGACAAGGGTTGGACCCCCAACCCTCCACGAGTTGGAGTCCGCCCCCTTCTTGACAAAGGTTGCAGGACAGCCTCACGGAAAGCCCACATGTGAATCCGCCAGCACAGCCTCACAGAAAGCCCAGCCCAGAAAGGGACAGATTCACAGAAAGCCGACATGCAGTGCTGCTGTCAATTCTGCCTAGGCCCAGTTAGAAACAACGACCATCGTCGCCAATGCCAAAGGCCCCGCTGGGATGCCTAGAAGCCTTGAGAACTAAACCCTAGCATGGTTGAACTCGGGGTGGTCTTGGGGTGGACTGTCTGCTACGCATGCACACACCAGCGAGCATCTATGACGTTACCACAGCCTGAACCCTAAACCCTTTTAGGGCCTAAGGATCCAGGGAAGCCAAAACTCTGTGAGTTCTACCTTCGTGAGCCTACCCTAACTCCATAAACCTACCCGTTCAAGGACTTATATACAGATATCAGAACAAGGAGCCCTAAACAGGTCGGCTTGGCAGGGTTCAGGTAGCATAAAAACCCGAAACCCTAAACCCCTAAACCCTAAACCCCTAAACCCTAAACCCCTAAACCCTAAACCCCTAAACCCTAAACCCCTAAACTCTAAACCCCTAAACTCCCAACCACCTAAACCTCTACACCCTAAACCCTAAAACCGGTAACTAACACATGGGTGGTTGTCAAAATTAGGGTCCCTTTTTGGGTACCCTAAATATTAGGTGCCGTATTATATTATGGACCCAAAAAGGGACCATCATTTTGACAACCACCCACATCCTCAACGCGACTAAGTAAGATCAGGGCCTGAGTCTCAACGGGAAGGTTGGTGTGGATGACGCCGATGCCTCCCTCCTCGATGTTAGGGTTTAGGGTTTAGGGTTTAGGGTTTAGGGTTTAGGGTTTAGGGTTTAATCTACTAGAGCACGACTATGATGTACTTATTACTATATAGTGTACTGTGTTTTACTATGCTAGACGATAATCGACACAAAAAAAGGATGATGTACGATAAGCTACTATGATGGACTCTTAGACTATACCACACTATAAGCCGATGAACCATCTTAGATACCACCCTTGGCCAACTTCATCTCACAGATGACAATGATGACAAATCTGAAATATCATACTTACCAAGTATCAAAAACCTAAACCTGAAACAAGCCCCTAAACCCGAAACCCCAAACCCTTAAAACCTAAACCCTAAGCCCTTAAACCCAAAGACCTGAACCGGCCCGAGGGCCCTAGAAATTTGGAAACCTGGGCTGACTGCGACTCGTGAAGGGATGTGGTTTCCGAAAATAGCGGACCCAAATATAGTACCCTAAATCTGTAAATAGTAGGCTTTTTTTAGGACCCACAAAATAAGGCACCCCTCATTTTCGGAAACTCCCATGGGTTTGGGGCTCATGACGGGTCTGCTGAAGATACCTTGGTTTCAGGGTTTACGGCTTTGGGTATAAGGTTTAAGGTTTAGGGTATAAGGTTCAGGGTTTAAGGTTTAGGGTTTCACATCCTGCAAAGCAGGGGTTGCCCTGATCTGATATTCTTGCAATGGTCTGGAATCGGAGTGTTGGCTCTCTCGCGGATACCTTACAAGTAGGTGGGTCTTACAAGCAGGTATGTTGATCGATGTCCTGCGCAAATACTACACGTCCATATCTGCACCAACATCCCTACAGCCCTCAATTGTGACCCCAAACCCTAAACCCTAAA